CAGTTTTGATTTTGTCTCATTAGGACTAGTCTGGCATCTCTCAGTTCCTCAGACTCCCTTTTTGCAACAGTAGTTCAGGCACTGGAATCTGCCCAACACTTCCATTCCAAAGTAAGATGCAAATAATTCATCCAACTTTTCATCCACGTTAGACTAAAATGGCTCACCCTTTGTAAATAGCTAGGGATCTTGACCTCCCTTTTAGGATTAACTTTCTAAGGGTAGATTAAACAGCCACTTTGTTTGCCCTATGACTACTTCTTGAAAGCTTAGTAAAGATTCCCATAGTTCTTCATCATTCAAGCAAAATGCTCTATAAACGTGGCTACTGAAGATTGACTCCCATATCCTACCCAACCTAGAGCTGCCTTGACCAAAATTTGAATGGCTGTCTAGAGCTAAGTAATTGGAATCAAAGGACAACTCTCCAGAGAGGTGTCTCATCTCCCTCCCTCCCAAACAACACCCCTAGGAAGAACTTGCAATGCACCTGAAAGGGGAGCTGCTCAAAGTGTGGATGGGGGCCCTGACATTCTTTCACTTGCTGTGGTCCCACCCTACTCAGTTGCCCACCTTTTCCACATTGAGCAGCAAAGGTTTGCAGGGTGCTTCAATTTACTTTTGCTTCAGTATGAGTAGAATGCTTCATGTGATTGGGGACCCTGCATTATCAGATACACAAGAGAAGAGATGAACTTGCATTGTGGAGAGACATTTGGAGTTTTAGTATTCCAGTTCTCACTTGAAATAGGCAGTCAAGCTCCTGTAATTACGCTAAGAAAGAAAAAGGGGTGGGGGTTGTAGAAAGCTCCTATCATGAAATACAACAGAGATTTTATGACAGACTTTTTAAAGAACTCATTTCTCTTTCTCAAAGGAGTGTTCAGGTGCAGTGTGAATTCCTACTTTGTGACTTGGTGGTATTGATATTAGCCAATAAGTAAACTTCCTTCTTTTACTTTCAAAAGAAATGGGTGTGCAGCCCTGGCAGGTAAATAATGAAAGAGCCTTTCTTGGCACATTTCCTGATTGTGGATGATTTGTTTCTATTGCAACAGACTACAGCAGATTTATGCTGTGTTTCTGATTAAACACAAAATGTGTCTGACTAGAAAGTCTGAAAAAGTGTGACTTCTAATGAAAAAGAAACTGCTGTGGTGATGCTGTGGTGATGTGACCAGAACATTAAAAAATATGTGCAACAAAACAGCAGAAACTGTATGGAATATAATATGCAGTAATTTCTGGGTGGGTGTCCGTGTATGTAAATAAAGGCTAGCTAATTAATTGTTGAACTTGAAGTGATTAACCTCCAAGCACTTGCAAATGCACAGAGCAAGAACCCTTTAGCCTCAGTCCTAATAATCTTACTCATACGACTATATGAGAAAGATTTCTCACATAATAGTTCAGTTTGTATGATCAGCCTTGCCTTCCTCATGTCTTTAGGACAGTTCTTCCAAATGAGGTTCTTCTACATGGGACATCAGTGGGCATTTGCAGGAAATGGAGTACAACTAGGGCACAATCAAATGAAGGGCAAGCACAATACATTATTGTGGGCAGAATTGTTAGGGTTCTGGAAGGAGGCAGCCAGCGTAGTGATTCAGAATTGAGGGCAAGCAGCAGCCTCAGAGCAGAGGCTCACAGAGAGGGCACAGGGCAAACAGAAACAAAGGTCCACAATAAATAGACAAGAGAGAGGGAGAGATCTCACTGTGGGGATCAGTCAAGTTGCTCTGATCAAATGCATTGTACCACATATTGGAAGCTTCCTTATGCTTGGATTGTTTGAAGAATGGGGCTGACGAGACTCTCAGGGATGATTGCTACTTGTGAGGAAAGATAATAGCAAGGAACTACCTGCAACTGCCACTGTCACCTGCTTGAAGCTGAGGTGCACCTGAAAGCGTAGACATATGGCGTGAAAGAAGCTCAGCCAGGTTTGGGGGCATTCATTGTCTTCTACTCTTAGCCCAGCCTGAGATGTGTGATGCTGAAACAGAGGCCGCTGTGTGTGGGGACAATAAACTGTTCCACCCCCAACTTCCAGCCCTGCCAACCTTTATCCAAGTTTTTGATGCCAGTGCTGGAATGGGAGGCAGGGCCGGGCTTGTTTGCTGTTGGCCCCTTCTGCCTATCAATTCCGAAAGGTATTTATTCACATAATATGTTCAAAGAATGCACTAGCTGGCATGCTTGCTCTGTCTACAGGAGAAAGTCTCGCCAGTGCGGTTTCCTTCCCTGGTATGAAGTGGTGAATTATTCAGCCAGCATTTAAGAACTGACATGGAAGATTACAAGAGAATTCATGACAGTTGTCAGCGTGGAGTGAAATGTGCTACTGCAGAAGAAGTGGACAGCTCAGATTGCTTGAGGCTTTGCCAAAGGGCTGTCAGCTTTGTTCCTTGACAAACAAGAGGTGTTTTTACACAGTTCCCAAGGAAAGTCTGTTTTAATTCTACTAAACTATACCAATTCTGTATTAGCAGGGTTGTATCTCAACCACACTTCTTCTAGACTGGTACTTTGAATTATTAAAGCTGTATACCACATAGTACATGATCCCTCTCAGCATCGTAGGCAAAATGTATTTCACACACATACACAGCAGAACCCTCACAGAAGATTTGCAGTTACTCCTGCTGAAGTGAGAAACAAGACCCTGGTTATCAAAACCAGAGAGGGCTTCTGAGGCTATCCTAGCTGAAGGTCAGCAAGAAGCCAAGAACTTCATTATGGGCTTCTTTGGGAGGATGAGAGGGACATAAATTTGATAGACCAGTCAATTAATCAGTCATTACCAGAGCAGCTGGAGCAAAAGGGTAGTGAAATTGCAACCCCCTCTTTACAATGAAATGCTGGACCTACATTTTTTGAGGATATGCTAAGTATATATTAACACTGGCCAACGACTCTGGGGTTGCGGCACTCATCTCGCTCTATAAGCCAAGGGAGCTGGCATTTGTCCGCAGACAGCTTCTGGGTCATGTGGCCAGCATGACTAAGCTGCTTCTGGCGAACCAGAGCAGTGCACGGAAACACCGTTTACCTTCCTGCCGGAGCGGTACCTATTTCTCTACTTGCACTTTGACGTGCTTTCAAACTGCTAGGTGGGCAGGAGCTGGGACCGAACAATGGGCGCTCGCCCCGTTGCAGGGATTCGAACCGCTGACCTTCTGATCAGCAAGTCGTAGGCTCTGTGGTTTTTAGACCATGTATGGTAGTAGTACAAATAATAAGAAATAGTATTTTTGTCTCAGTTCAGACCACTTGAAATGTGAATGGCTTCTTGGGATACAAATTCTGACAAGGAAACAGTAGCAGTTAAGAGCTAATAAAGATAATGGCTATTAGCAAGCATGATATGGAAACTATAAAGATGTAGCAATCCTGATTCCTCTTGTGTGCTCTTCGTCTCTTTGTAGTTGCTTTTTGAGGTAACATTTGTTTGGTTTTGCTTGTGGTTATAAAATCGCATGGGATGAGTTTAGATACAGTTTCAGGGACTTTTCGAAGCAGACAGGTACAGCGAGTCCTCAAAGCAATTCTGTTGGCCTAGGCCTCCCCTGCCTCCCCAATGGCTATTTGTAATTGAAATGAGCTTAGGCCAGAAGGGTGCTTTGAAGATCAGCCTTTAACAGCTTTTTCTAGATTAGGCTTCCTGAATCAAGTAAATGGCAGAAGAAACTGTATTGCAGAAGAAGCAGATCTGAAAATGGGCTAATGTGAGCTGAGCTGAAATGCACATTCAGGAAAAAAATACAGGCTGGAAATTGCATGCTTGATCACTCTACCAGCAAGTAAAACAAAACAACCAATTGCATGAAGAAAACAAACAGAAGGCTGAGGCTAGAACCCCTCTTCCTAACATGCTGTCTTTTCTAGGCAGGGGATTTCTGAGGTAGGATAATATTCAAACACTAGACTGCTGTTTGACATTTTTAAGTGTCCTAAGAGAGCTGTATCACATGCCTTCTGATTGTGTAGTGACTTTTTTCCTTTGGGCTTTCAATAGGTAAAACATTAATTAATGTTGTCCTGCTTGATAGACTTGGGGGGTTGTGGGGACAGCATTTTGGTGGCATGGAGCATAGGGAAGAATAAACAAAAACTCATGCCTTATAGTATGTTGGGCCTTCAGCGCAGTTACTCCTATATTTATGGAACCTATTTTCTTGAAGAGGTGATGACAGCTATCCTCTTTGAAGTTTTTTTTTCTGAGCACGCCTCTTTCCTCAAGCTTTTGATTGACAATATTGCTTTTGATACTATTGCTTTCTGTGACTATTTCCACATTGCTGTTGATTTGTTACTATTGACTTCCCGTTGTATTTTTGTTGTTGTAAAACTGCCGTGAACTCAGTGAGGTAGTATATAAAATAATTAAATAAAATAAACACAGTATATTCTGATAAAATTCTAGTTAATTAATTCTTGGAATTCTGAGTGTGCACATCTGCACTGGCGGAGGAAGAGGGGGGCGGGGGGAGCTCGCCGCCCCCAGCAGTGCGATCCCGGTGGGGTTCCATCGTGGCTGCCCCCACAGGCGGCACACCCCACTCCCAGAATGTGACGACACCCCTTTGGGCAATGTGCCATGCCCCCGGGACGCGCACCAGCCCTGGCCCCCCGCCTGCTCTCCGCCCCCGGTGCCGGAGCATGAAGCTCCGCCACTGCACATCTGCAGAGGATTCTCAAAATTAGAACATGAGTAACCAGTTCTGTTCTGAACTCTTATGCATTGAGATCTTCCTCACATTGTCCTTCTTTGGATACTAAAAACAAAACAAAAAAACCTTTGCTGTTCCAAACATGTTCTCATCAAATGAACAGCAGTGAATTATTATTTTTTGTACTGTACTGTACACATCTATCAGTAGAGTATATTACTTTTCATAGCACTACTTGTCTTGCTACTCTTCTGGTAAGAGTACCTTGCACATAAACATTTTGATTCCCCTCCCCGTTTCCTGTGTTTAATTAACTCTGTTAAATTCCTTTTCTAATTGATATGTGGTGCTGCAAGCACAGCCATAAGTGAGCACTGTGTCTTAGGCACGAGGCCATCCTTTCTCATTAAATATTTGAAAGATTCTCTTTAAGTGTTCTCTTACATATGTATAATCTCTCCCCTTCCCATTATAACAGGCTGGTGACATTTTCCAGGCTTCTGACTCTAGAACAGCTGATAGAACTTACAAAATTAATAACATTCCTGAGGTATTCCTCCTACAGATTCTTACTCATTGTTAATTGCTTCTGCAGTTGGTCTTTGAATGAGTAGTTTGTTGATTAGGCTTTCAGAGCAAATCCACACACAAAAATCATACTGCCGCCTTTTTAACTAAAACCACTTTACCACTTATCTGGTATTTATAGCAAAATACACTGGACACCTGCTATCTATGTGTTTGTGTAACTGTATGACAAGAAATAATAGGCTACAAAAACTAGCTGCATATTAGTATTGCCCTAAAGCATGCTCTTTTATTTAGCACACTAAAGATTGCTGTATGGTAAGCTTTGTTGCGTTTTTTAATCTTTCTGGTTATCTGTTGATGGGCTTGTAAAAGAAAGTTCTATCATGAGGATCTAATTCATTCTAGGACTTGTGAGAGTCCAGCTCTGGCACCATTATTACACGCCATGTCTCAACTATGGAATGCATCAGCCTAAGGTTAAATTATTTAAAAGTGGTTCTGTGCATGACACCTTTGCCTCACAGTAGAAATTTGGACTGGCGACAGGTTGCAGTAGGGCCAGACTGTAGTAGGGCAGGGGTAGAGAAACTTTTTCAGCCCAAAGGCTGCATTTCCTTGCAGGTTATCTTACGGGGGTTGCATGACAGTGGGGCAAAAAGCAGAAAGAGCAATGAATGTGACTCTTTCCTTTGTAGGCTACATTATAGCCATGCAAAAGCTAAATACATGTTTTACAGAGAGGGGATGATATAGCTCTCTATCTGGCAAGCAAGGCATGTCATTGCAGTTCAGGGATACATTCCAACCAAGCAAAAGCACTTGAGGGTGCAGAGTTGAGTTGGTGAGGGTGTGGCCTAGAGAAAGTCCTGGGGGCCAGATAGTAAGACCTGGGGGCTTCATATACCTATCTAGGCCTAAATTTCCCCAGTCCTGCTGTAGACCATTGGGTCCTTAGACCTGGGTCACTGGTTGATTGTTAGTCCAAGTGGTTCAGCGACATGAGTGCCATGTAGAACAGACAGTGGTTGGGTTCCAAAGCAGTCAAAGATTGGAGGGACCAGATGCAGTCAAACATAGTCAAGGTCAAGCAGAGGATCAGGAGGACTCAAAGTAGCTGCTTATTTAAGGGCAGGCAGTAGTTAATATCCAAGGCAGAAACCAAGTAAAAGGGAAGCTAGGCTGAGAAACTCTTGAGTCCTGGGTTTTACGTATGGTGTGCTCTTTTATTCACATCCTAAAACATCTGGCATGTTTTGCTTGTAAGATATGACCAAGCAAATGTTCTTCATTACCTACTGGCAGATGCCCTCAATGTGGCAGCACCTTATTTGGAGCCATTAAAAAAATCTCTCCCTACAATGAACTTTTAATTAATATTTGTGTTGGCTGGCCATAAGGAAGCCAGCCTGCGGCACAATTAAGAGCAGATGACTAAATATATATACGGTAACCTCTCCATTAAAACATTTAGGTTGGAAATCTCTGGATTTCCGTATTCAGAATGTACATGATATATGGGAATAGCTTTTCCTTTCAGCATTTGTATAGCATGACCAGAAGAGAGATTGTTGTCTATGGTGTTCCTTTCATAGGTTCTTGAGGTTTTTGTAATGCTTCAAAAAGCGGTGGAATCTTGCTTGATCCGAGATAACATGAGGACAAGAGAACACACACTAAGGGAAATAGTACATCCATGGTTCAACATTAATATCTCTTTTAAAACAAAGGCAACACTATCGTATATATCCAGCCAAAACCTTTCTTAGTAGACTATAAAAGACAAATGAATGAATGAGAACACTGCACATGCCAGTTAGGCCCAAATATTTATCATTTCTATAGAGATAAAGAAATGAGATTAAAACCAAGACATGGCAGCATGACCTGCATATTACTGCTAAGAGATCGTTTGTAAATAAGGATGTTGGCAGTGGAATATTTTTCTAATGTTGTACAGATCAGTATCTAAGGTGGTTTAAGCCTCTATGAAAATACACTCAATTGCAATCAGTGCTGCTAACTTCCAAGTACATATGTGCAGTGCCGAGAAATAAATGTTTAGTTTGGCAGACCACAATAATGAGAGATATGTGAGAGAACTTTTTATAAAGATAAAGAGCACCTTCGGCATTTATTTTGTTGCCTCCTGATTCATCAAGTACTTAAACTACTATGCGTTTTGATTTATTTTCTAACACTAATTTGTGGAAACAATGTTTCATTTGTAAATGTTTGCTGAGATCACATGCTTCATATTCTGTATTAATTTTTCATAAAACAGCTGTTACTTTGCCAACATTAACATAAAATTCAGAATTTAGGTTTGACCAAACTGGTAACCTCATAGATTCTCCTCTTGTCAGTAAATGCTTGAACACAGTTTTGGCGCAGTCTTGCAACATGCCCTTTCTCAAGAAAGAATTGTCTGGGCTAGAAAAAGCGTTGGCGCAAGAAAAAGGGTTGCCATAGTGACTGAAACCTACACTTAGTCATCCCTCAAGAAAAGTAGGCTGCAAGATGCACCTTTGTAATGGCCTTTTGAAAGTAAGGGACCCTTTAAATTGAAGAGCCCATTTCATTGTCTAAATGCAGATTTCTGTCACTTGCAAGAGAAAGGATCTCTGGAGTACGGTTTGTGTATCAATGCTTATTTTAATCGCTTTTCATCCAGAAATGTCTTAATGAGAATGAAGGTTCCTTTTCTGTGGTGCAGCAGGGCTCAGAGTTTTGGGCCCGAGCATGGATCTCAGTTTGGTTCCCTAGAGTTACAGAGAAAGAACATAGACCCTAGTACAGAGGCTTGAATAGCTATGATCAGACTTGAAAAGCACAGCTTGGGAATTCCTCCTTCACAGAGATCCTTCACCATTTATAGTAGCAGTGATGAATGTTAAAGGTTTAATGTTTGTCTTCTTTTACCCTGTAACGTGTGAGGCAGCTGCATTTCTCTTTCTAGCACATGTACACTGAAGAAACACTATGAGATGTTGGCACAGACCCCACCTTGCTGTCGTATGATTCTCATCAATGCACATACTGGATAAAAGACATATAACTTCCTCACATGCTATTGGGTAGAAGTGAAGTGTTTGCTTTTCTAAAAAAGTGGACTTGCTCCTACTATAATGTGTAAGGCAGTTAAAAAAACAACAACCGCTGATTGTGGACAGGCGCTAAAGTTTAGTGTGATCCACCAAGATGGATGTAGCCCACTGATCTCACAGTGGGGTTTTATAAACTTACTGTTTTTCCTTCTGCCTCAGATAGTAAAACAGGAATATTAACTGGCAGATTAAAAGGGGCTGGGATGGTCTCAGCTTTGGTCGGTCCTAAGTTGTTGTCCTGGACTGGTCTTGTGAAGGAACAAGATTACAGTGATCTCAAGGATGCACCTAGAACCACATACAGCCATTGTGAAGCTTCATAGCATCATATAGTTGGAAGAGACCCTGAGAACAATCTGATCCAACCCTCTGCATTGCTGGAATATGCAGCTGTTCCATATGGGGATGAAACCATTACTTGTTCTGATATTGTCCAGGTCACAATTACAGTAGCTACATCATGAGCAGATATCTTGCAACTATATTTGCAAATAGGTTTCTTATAAGGATATAAACTGGGAGCCACGGCCTCATAGACACCTGATCAAATATAGATTGCAGAGTAACTTGTGTTGCATTTAGGCAGTTATGAAATGTGAACGATATACATAAGCTATAAGAATGCCTATTCATGACTAAATTCTATTGAATTTTGGAATATGTTGTACTGAATACATTTATCTATCTTTGGTCACAATTGCTCGATTATGCATAGACAATTCCTGTATGGCAACTGCTTGATTAGGCATAGTCTTCTATAAGCATTTAGACAAAACTGTTCTGTATCCAGAGGATGAATCCTGTGATCAACCTGTTCGCTTCACTGTGTGTTATGTTGTTTTTCACATGCAATGACCCATTTAGAATAATGACCTGAATTTCTCTGGGCCAGAGTCAGATGGCACTGTTTGTCTCAGTTATTTATTTTACCAGTGTGCTAGATACCATATGCCTGTGAGAATGCAACCATTCCTACTTAATCTTGCTTAAAGCCTCTTCCTTAAACGGGTATTTAAAAAACATACCCCTGCGTAACATCTTATTTGGTAAATGTCAAAATGAGTATAGATCCATCTTTGGCTGGATTGGCATTTCAAGGGATTTATTTCTTAAAAGGAATAAAAAAATGTAGCTTACAACATTGTCTAATGGGCTTTAGACTTGGCATTATACAGAAGCTGTTGAAGAAAAATGGTTCAACAAAAACAGTTTCCAAATATGCAGTGAAATAAGGATCTTAAAAGGCTTCATCCTGAAAGCTACAGCATTTGGTTTGGAAGCGCAGCAGCAAAATGTTAAAAAGAAAGAAAGATGTGCAGTGTTGATACTTGTTGCTGTAGGGGAAGGTTCATCAGTGGTCCTAGAGAGAGAGAGACATGGAAACCAACCTAAATATAATAATCCCAACAAGCTACAGGTGCCTCTTCCATAAGCCACTTGAAATGGCTTCCTGTCATATAACTTTTCCAGCCGCCGTGCAGTGGTTTCATTCTTTGCTCTCTTTTAGACCTCTCCCTTTCCCCCTTAGCTTGTCTGGCATGTGGTAATTTGAACAAGTGTTCAGTGAATATCATTGTTCTCCTTAGTTACTCATAAACAGGCTGACTGGCAGAACTGCTAAGCTCAAAAAGACCCAAGTCTTTCACAGGACTCCCCCCGTTGCTGTGGCAACCAGAGAACTGTGCTACATTTGTAAATGTGATCTTTGACCATTCTGGATGGGTACGCAGGGATTTTCGCAGCTCTGAGAAGAAGAAAAAAACCACAAAATTCTGATATGTAGACGGTTATCTGATACAAGCCAGTTGAAACAGAGGCTGGTTCTGTGCAATAGCACACATCCCTCCTCTCCTCTGCAATGAGTGTGAGAGAGCATGAAGGATCTTTTCTCTCACTTTGCAATCTACTTGAAATTTGAGCGAGATTCCGCGTTTGTAACTGCAGCGATAATTATAAGTTGCTTTCTGGCATATTTGCCAGAGAATACTCTTTGAATCATGGATCAGACATCGATAATGTTAATTTTTCTGCCTTCCTCAAGTTCATTAGTCTGAAACATAATACATATATTCCCTTTGGTACCAGCCCAGTGATCTTCTGCACGGATATGAACTATCCAGGCCCCAGTGTAATTAACATATCAAATACCCTGAGTTTTAAATCTCTTTCTCCCTTCCTCTTTCTTTTACACACACACACACACACACACACACACACGGGGGGGGGGGGGAGGGAGAGTTTGTAGACCCCTACAGAAATTTGATACCCAACCTGTAGAGATTGGGGGTGAATGACAGAAAAAGAGGTGAGAGTGGGGGCTGAGCTTGATTCCTTTTCTTTTTCCATGGGTTGATTGTGTGTATAGGACAATAAACACTGACAAGCTGTTGCTTGTAATCAATAATAATATCATTTATTTATTTTTTGAGTCACTGAGCCCAAAGCAGCTCGGTATGAATTAATATTTGATTGTCTCTTTCTGTGAAATCCTCACTTTTATTTATAAAGTGGCCATAGTTGTGCTAGGTACTGTACAAGATATCTATACAGTCGTACCTTGGATGTTGAACAGAATCCATTCCGTAAGTCTGTCCAACTTCCAAAACGTTCAAAAACCAAATTGCGGCTTCAGATTGGCTGCAAGAAGCTCCTGCAGCCAAGCCGAAGCCCCATCAGACATTTGGGTTCCAAAATAACGTTTGCAAACATGAACAATCACTTCTGGGTTTGCGGTATTTGGGAGCCAGAACGTCCGAGTTCCAGGGCGTTTGGGATCCAAGGTACGACTGTATCTTAAGGCAAGTAAACATCTGTCAGATGGTAAGCTGCTACTATAGGGAAGAATCAGTTTTTGTTTCTGTTATAAAAGTGCCAAGTTCAGTTGCACAATAACTTTTAAGAAGTTGCGGTACCTGATTTATTGGTCTTAGGTTAGCTATTACCACCCCTCTTCAAGTCTTCTATTCAACAATGCTGTCCACTTCTTTCACCTCATTAAGCATAAGAGGAAACTATTGCACAACCACAAAAGCTGACTTTGATTGCAGAGTTGAATGCATCTTACCTTTCTTTTCTTTTCTTTTTAAAAAAGCATGTTTCTAGTCCTCAAACCTGTGATTATAGACATGACATTGTGTGGACAATGGCTGACAAAATCTGAAAAGGGGGCAAGGGTGTGTGTGCTGCTAAAATATCCAGTAGTCAGGAGGGGATGAGCCCTCCAGTTCTCCAATAGCCCCTCCCTTGGCCAATCGAAGTTGACTCTATCATGCAAAACAAGCAACTATATTAAAATCTGTCCAGTTGTGGTAGGTTGAATTCAGTTGTTACCACAGAATTTTGATTTACTCGGTCCAGAGTTATGGTTTATAGCCTGGAGCACAAACAGTTCTAATCACAAAGCATATTGACAAATCATTGTGAGTGGTAACAGTGATATCAGAGCTGCTATTTAGAGAGCTGACTGTGAGAGGTCTTCAGCACTTCCAGGTCTCATCAAAGCCTACTGTAGTGGATGATATTTAGCACTTAGAAGGCTTAAGCCTTCATCTCTTATTTATCTTTTTTCTCCTCCTGCTCAGGATTCAAGTAATAATGCATGATTCACTCATTTTAGAGCCTCTGGCAGGCATGTTGTTCTGACGCATTTCCCACCATGGATTGTGCATAGCTGATGCAGGTTCAGTGTCAAAGACGTGTTGCTTCTTTGAGAAAAGTAGAAGTACCTAGTCATGCCACCCTCCAGAATTTAATTAAGTTCCCAGGTTAGTTTACAAGAAAGTTGTTCCTACCTATCTTGTTGCGCTGCCTCCACAGGGGCAGGGAAGAAACACCCTGTAGCTCATGGACATTTCATAGAATCATAGCATTGTAGAGTTGGACCCCAAGGGTCATCTAGTCCAACCCCCTGTGATGCAGGAATTTGCCACTAGTAAATTGTACATACATAAAATGCCTGCCACACATACAATCTGAGCAATGCAGAACATTTCCTCAAAATCATTCTTGTCACAGGTAGCCATGGCACACAATAAAAGATTGGTAGCAACATTGTCCATTAATTGTCTTCTTTCATTCCTTGCCACTTACTTGCCTGCCCTTGAATATTACATCAGGTTCTGCTCATATCCTGATGCTGCTTTTATCATTTCTGTCCTTTTTTTTACCGAAGCCCACTATGCAGTGCTTCTCCTCTGCTGATCTCATGATGAAAGCATAACCTTTCCCGGCATGGTTAGAGAGATTTGTAATTCAGTAAACAATGAACAAAGTAAGTGGTTTCTTTTCTGGATTATATCCTAAGAAGGACTCCTGAGAACGGAGAGTGAATTGTTAAACAATGGGGGGGGGGGGAGTTCTGCCATATGATGCAGTATTTCGTTAATTGATTAAACATTGCTCACAGTTTCATTTGAAAGACTTTGTGTATCTGCCATATTCTTTTGTTATGTAGCTGTCTCATGTGCATTCTGAAAAGGCAACAGACCAGTGGTTCTTGAGGGGATCCTTTAGAAAAGATACCTGCCTGTCAGCTCCATCACAGATGATGGTTTTCATGCCATCTGAGTACACTTGCCTATCAAGCTCTTATTGTGGGTTGATCCAGCTGTTTTGTGGGGGTTGGCTTGGTTTTATTTAGGAGTGGGTGGCTGACCCCTGCAGAGATACATATTGCCTTACGCCAGCCTTTGCAAACCTGATGTCCTCCAAGTTCTGTTCTGCAATTCTGTTCAGCTCCATCCAGCTTGCAGGTTCAAACTTTAACAATAGATCTGAAAATGAGTTTCAGTGATGGCTGCTTTTGGCCAATGTAGAATAATCTTGTCAAAAACTATTTCTAATTTAGCTACATGAAGCCCTACAAAAGTTTACTAGGAAGTAAGTTTGAAATAAATTCAGTCAGACTTATTCCCAAGAAAGTGTGCATGGGATTGCAGTCTAAATTTTCTGAAAGGTTAACAGCAAGGCCCCTTGTTAAATGTCCCAGACTGAGTCCAATACAGTGATGCAAAAACCATCCCATGAGTTACAGCTTACTTTTTAGATACTTTAGATAGATCCCTGCCCTTTTGTTTTGAAGATAGCATACGTGTCATGTGTTCTGAGGAAACATACATTCCTATAATTTAACTAAACACAACCACTTTGGACTTATAATCTTAGACAAGAATAATTATGGATACACAAGCTGTCAGACAACTGTAATCAAGAGGAGACACCAAAGGCCAAACACAGGGTGTTGTTCACTTAGAATAACTGAAGGCTGGTGCTGAAGCTGGTGGGAGATTGGAACATGGTATTACTGGCAGTGGCGTAAGAGGCAGCATTTCTGCAATGCTTCATGCTCAAACATTTCATTTTACATCTTCTGTTTCCTTAACAGTAGCAGAGCCCTGTTTCCTACAGCTGGAGGGGGCAGAAGAGGAAAGAATCCAACATTGTAGAATTAAAAATATTTTTATATTGCCCTTCAATCATATTCCCAGGGCATTTTGAGATCCCACCACACACACACACACAATATTTCTATACTTTTCACCAAGGGTCCTGAAGCAGTTTCCAACAGATTAAAATGCAGGTTATAACTAGAGAAAATTTAAAATCTAACCATTTAACATAAGCCATAGGTTTTCAACCTTTTTGAGTCTACGGCTCCCTTGACCAACTACATGCATTCTTTCTGTGACACCCCTGGGGGGCTCAGGAGCCCAGTTATGTCACCCCTTGCGGCAGTCTCTCACTCTTTTTCGAACACCCTCCCTTGTGGAGTGTTCTTCAGCCTCCTCTCCTTCCCTCTCCTTGGAAGTCCTCCAAGCAGCCGCTGCTGCCACCCCTGGTCTCTGAGCTCCAATTGGAGAACAGCCTTTACCAAAGGTATCATGGACTCTGAAGACGCTCGAACTCAAGATGAAAGGGAGAAATGTGCTTAGAGGAAGGCACATTTGGCAAACTGGATTTAAAGGAAGCAAAATTATGCTCAATTGATTTTTGACCCTTAAGGCAAAAAAATTTAAAAAAAAAAATGCTGTCTGGCAAAATGCTGTTTAAATATATTTCTCTGGGCAACAGTCATGGGCCAATTACATAGAACTGAATATTGGGAATACTGCATCTAAGTGACTGCCCATAATTAATAGTTGGTGCACCTACCGTAAAAGCAAGTCTACAAAATTTACCAACCCACCTGTTTATGTAAACGGAGAATCAATACATTTTTGGGTCAAATTCCCAGAATTTTTGCAGGAGGTGTGGATGTGGATAATTAGCATTATATTTTAAAAGGCTTTTA